TTTACTAATTTGTACACAACTTATTGTACATACAACTATTTATTAATATAAAAATAATTTATTTTGAATTTCAAAAACGCCTCTGTTCTGGCGGCTTTGTGACGTCGAAAAATTGTTATAAAATAAAAGTTATACATACTCATTTGTCAAACAACCCATTCAGCTTATCCGTTTCATCCATCTCCGGCATAATTTCAAACTTTTTAATCGATCCTTTTTTTTTATCTCTCTCGACGTTAGACACTACTGGCGAATAAACAACGTACGATTTAATTGCTAGAATTGCCATTTACCAACCACATATTCGAAATGATTTTTGAACGGAGTATGATACGTGCATTTTTATGATTTATGTCCTACATCATCATAACCGTAATGTTATAAAAGCAAGTAATTTAGATATAAAATATGTTATCGACTATATCAGATGTTTTTTCTCTAATTGTGCACAACTGTAACTAATGACCAACCACCGCATAACATAAGATAAATAAATATAATATCAGTGTTATTAAACTTGCAACGAACTAAAATAAAATATTCACTTTTAGTTTATAAATAATTAAAAATATTGTTAAAAAAATTTAATTGAAATACTCTTACAAAACATACCTATCAAGTGTCGTATTTTACTTGGTAAATTAAACAGTCACTTAACATATCAATACATTTAGTATTTTAAATAAATATCTATATAAAACAAATATAAATAAATAAGAGCAATATGTCGTCACTTTGTCGTTCATAAATTATGTACATATTATTATCGGCAAATAAACTGGAGCCCGATTAATTCAAATATTGACGATTAAAAGTACAATTATTGTCAATTAAGGCTAAATAATATTGTATGATTAATTTAAGATTACGTTAAGGTTATATCTTATTTCTCATTGTATAAGCCTATAAATGCATACAATGAAATATAAATTGAGACAAATGTGTTGTTTACCGCACTAGAACTTTCGAGTGGTCGTATATTATAATTTATAATATCATACATTTAGCCCAAGCCCCAAAATTGTATCAAAGAAATCAAAATTCTGATAAAATAATATACAATAACAGCCATCAGAAAATCCATTTACAGCTTTAAATAAATTAGGTATGGTTATTGCGAATTTGCTGGTTCGTTATTAAATGACGGTATCCGACAGGTAAATCTTGTGTTTATCTAATCGAGTCTGTTCAAGAGAAATGTTTAGAAAATAGAGATTAATACTAAAATAGACGTTCTAGTTTTCAGTGGCTCACTAGGTTTGAGCGATGCAATCAAATAAATAAAACGCTTTAAATTTAGTCACAAAATTTAAGTTTTTAAAAAAATTGAATTATTTTATGAACAATGAATAGTGAATTACTAACTATTATACAACTGTTGTAAATATGTACACAGATAGGTGTTTTAAAATATTGTATTAAATTGCATCGTATTATGGTAAATTTTCTAACTCGAGTCAATCGAGGACCATAAAAATACAAGTCAAGTTCTCAGCTAGACATAAAAACATTTTATTGAAACAGTAGAGAGTTATATTTAAGTGGCGAGTGTTACTCTTAAAGACCTTAGGTAATCATCAAAATGATACAATTATTACACACAAAACTTCCAAACATTGTAAAGTGTTTAATTAAATGCTACGCCATGTCCCTTCAATCAAAATAAAAAAAATCTTGGAATTGTTGCTGCGTGTTCGAAATATATTAAATTTGTATCTTACAAGTAAATATTATATAAACATACATTTAACATACTTGAAATTTATTTTGTTGATTGTTACTAATAATAGTTAATTGATCGAGTGTTGGTCTATGGAAAATATTATAATGGCTACGAGAGTGATAGAAGTGTTAACGAGCTATTTTATTGAATTTGGGACGTCGGAAGTTTTATATTATTAGGTGATAATGGTCGACCGTTTGTCCCCCAGTTCGGGTTTAATGAATTTAAAATATTTCGTGATATGAATTATATTAATCGATATAATTTCCCACCGTATAACACCCAAAATATAACTGCATTTCAACGAATATTGATGGGGGGGGGGGGATATTTTAATAATCACAATTTCATAAAAACGAATGTAAATATACATTAAACATGTGATGTAGATAAACATAATATTTAAATGAGGTTATACAAATTGAAAATGGACGACATTTTATGCAGTCTAATCGAAAAACCCCAGCCATATTGCTACCTCCGTTATTGTTGTGCTGCGGAAATAATATTCAACATTTACTGGCGTAGTTGAAAAACAAATGAACATCTAACACATAAATGTGAATCGAACCGTTATAGACTTTCGTTTGACACGATTTAATAATTATTATTGTACGGCGTATTCACATATTATTATTATTATTATTATTATGATGATGATGATCTGCGAGGCATACAAATGGGACCTACAAATTATTTATGCAAACGTGCGTCATCGCAGTGCTTAGTCGAGCTCGCGGGACTGTCCGTGGCAGTTTTATTCGTTGGAAATTCGAATAAAACGCAGTCGCCAGCTAATGTATTATTTATATAGGAACACAATCCGTTCTCGGAGGTATTAGTGATTGAAACTTTAAAGAAAGAGTAAATCTTAAAAAAATTGGCTGACAAAACGGTTTACGTTGTTTTGATTATTCGTATATTATACAATAACAAAATAATAATATAACCAGTAAAAGCCACCCACTCAAACACTCGCACACACACACACACACACACACACACACACACACACACACACACACACACACACGCACGCACGCACGCACGCATCCACACTTACACCCCTGAAACACTACAAAAAACCCAGATGTGTCTCTATAAAGGGTGACGTGAAGATTTTGTGCTTCTTCTACATAACAAGGTAACCTCAAACGTCGATACAATATAGTTGGTATGACGTATACTTACGTCTTTCACTGTTTTTATTTCGACTTAGGTACATAGTTTGGACGAATAAAACGATTCTAAAAGTCTCATCACGTTGCTACTTATGAATTATTGAACTGATTTACAAACCTGAACTTTAAACGGTCAATTTTTAAAACTTTTCAATAATATTTGATGAAATTACGACGAGCATGAGCACTAAAAAAATCGTACAGACACGGACACCATAGTTCAATATTATGATAATTTTTTTTTAACAAACTAAACACACAAAACTGAAAAAAAAACTTATTATAAACTCATTCCTCTCTAGTTTGGTTGTTTGTTTTTTGAAAAGCTTATCTTCCCATAGAATGATCCAGATGGTCGGCTACTGGAGAAAACATTTTTAGTTCATCTACTGTACACATATAGGGTCGTTTATCCCAGCCAATAACTTTTTACATTTTTATCATTTAAATATTATAACCGTATTAAAGAAATTCAATTATAATATTTTTTGGAATCATTTGATTCTTTGTTTTTCTCAAAAACGTCGAACAAGCAATCTATAGAGCCACTTATTTATGTAAATATTTCGAAAGCTTAACTGATAAGCTATTTATCAACAAATAGGATTGATAGTTTTTGAGTTGTGGTAGAAGGGGGGTAAAGGGTGTATAAATAATAGGTGGGCGGGTACATGTACAAGTAAAAACACGGCGAGACAAACTGTGCGGTATAGGCAGTCATGTTTGGTAACTTGTTACTGCGGACAAGGATAACAGCAGCTTGTTGCCGTGGTTAATGTACATCGTTAAGGTCAGACTCGTAGAGGCTGGAAATTATAATATTTAAAATACCAACAGAATACTGATAAGATAATATGGTTAATATTCTGAAAACCCGTCGAGCCAACAACAGGTGACCACTCAAAACAACACAAAAAAAAAAAGATTAAATACATAAAAATGTTGTGGTCGACGTGGGTTGTCGGGAAATTTCACGATATTATTATTATGATTATTGTTATATCGTTGCGCGTCTTTTCATTCAAATGCCGCGCGAGAATTAAACCCCCAAAAATCGTGGTTTGGTACTCACATTGTATATATATATATATAAATTGTATGTGCATTCAAAGCGTGAAAAACGTCCGGATAAACTGCACCGCCTAAAGTAAACCTAGCCAGCTACATCAAAATAATATGTTGTGAATTAAAAAGGATATTCTTACTGAGTTATAAAAGTTTATAATTTTTTTATTGACTTTTAATTACTTAGGTATATCGTTAAAACTAATATTTACGAAAGTTTCACGGGGATAATACATTTTATTGCTGATTTCGCTTAGCCATTAATTAAATGAATGTAAAATTGTATAATAACCGTATCGATAATTATTATTAATTAGAACCTGTACTAGTATTATATATTAAAATTACAATGTAAACAAAGATAAAAAATATAAATTTGCTACAAAATAAATTCTATTTTAAATGTATATAAAATCTATAGTTGTTAGTTTTAGAACATTTTGTTTTAACCGACTGAAAAAAAAACTGTTGTTTTAAACAGAAAAAAAAGGTTTTTCCAGCACTTTTAATTTATAAAAATAAAGATAAAAGAATAATGTTTTTACATTTCTATTTTCCGAATCAAATTTTCTAAACCACCATAACCTCTACCAGAAGAGGTGTACATACAACTCTTTTAGAAATTATAAAGTTCAACTAAACTTCAGAAATGACTATATAAATTATGTAAAATATTATTATAAGATAAAATTAGTAAGACATTGAAGACAGTTTCTGGAGCGAATAGTACAAAATGCAATAATACACATAAAGAGCACTTAAATACTTAATAGTCAAGTGAATATTTAATAATATTTTCAAAAAATGTTGTAAACGGCTATAACAACAGCAGTCGTGCCTTCCTATGTCTCCACGTTTAGAGTATTATTTATTTAATTTTTCTCAAAGCTTAACTTTTCACAAGAAATCCGAAATCAATAAACGAGTTTCGTCATCTGCTACTTCACGTACCTACAATAACGCATTGTATATGTTCTACGTATTGTATAGTGTGGCCAGTTCTGATGACGATTATGTTAATTTTTTGACAGTCGAGTTCAGGAGCAAAGTGGCGTGTGAAAACGAGGTGGTCAACTTGCAGTGCAATCCGAATTCCCGGCTGGCCATGTTCTCAGCAAGCTATGGCCGGACAGAGTACGAGAGTATCCAGTGTCCGCAACCACAAGGCGTTCCCGAAGAGAGTAAATATATCATACAACTATTATTATTATTCCCTCTATTTCTAGACTGTCACAACTCCTGAAAAAAGTACCTAACGTTTTCAAGAGTGCAATTAAAAAAAATTCACCAATTCCTTAATTGACTATACAGTTTGATGTAAATCAGTTATGTATACGATTTAATTTTGAAAAATCTTATTAGATATTATGTAGGGGTTATGTTATTACAACCTATAGTTTTGATTGTTGCTTACGTTTTTTTAGTGATTTTGTTTCACTTCACAGTTGGATATGACACACAAACATATTTTACTAAAGAACCACATAACAGAAACCTATATATTTGGGGGTTCTGTGTTCATTTTTACGAGGAGACAAAAACAATTCAAACCGACCATACGACTTATACAGTCGACAATTACCGTGTACACATTATTTTTATTTACCATTAATTATGTACTAATACAACTTGAAATACGCTTTTAGCTAATGAACTAAAATTTAAGAAAATATAATCTGTAGGTTCACGGTATTCGTTGTGCGTGTAAGCCAGTAATGATCTCTTGAACTTTTTTCAAGTCACTGTAAAAATTAACTTAGAACCCCTAACACACTACTATACTAATGATCTATAATAATTTAACTTTTTGTTTTTGATATTGAAAAGTAAAACGATGATGGTTTAAGGTCAACTAATTTTCCATTTATTTATTTATTTTTGAGTTGTTGCAGTATTAAACTAATAATTAACGGTCGAGGCAATAATGTTATTATATCTACTGCTATGCACGATCAATCTGTTTTGTAGACACGATTCGATGGTTGTGTTAAAAACGTATTGTTGAACAGTGCTGATAAGTTAAATTCTTTTCCAGCGTGTCTGGTGAGTTACGCGACGGAGACCGTGATGACTGTGTGCCACGGCAAGAGAAATTGCAGACTGGCGGCGGATGCGGCGACGTTCGGCAACCCTTGCAAACCAGCTTCCAGGATGTACTTGAAAGTCGTTTACAACTGCGGTGAGTATCTGAAGCTATTCCGCGGAAAAAAATGTTTTCATTATAATGCAGTAAACCGGCTACAGAGTGATGGAGACCCCCGAAGGCATACAGATAAAAAATAAATTCACATTTTTTATCATAGTACCTTGCCGTCCTAACACTTATAACCCGCGAACGGGAGGCTAGACAGAGTTGCGCGCGTGGATTTAGACTGTTCTAAGAATACGTTCCAGTCAGATAATAATATATGTGTGATCAATATCCTAATATTATTACGGAGCCACTAATACATACATAAGACCACTAACACTAATACATTAAGAATAGGCTATCAAGTAGTAGTAGTATATTGTACAATATAATATTATACTCAATGGTATACTAGTCTAGTAGTCTGCGGGTCGTAGGCAAACGTGTACGCTATTTAGCGATCAATTCTAGACTACTAGATATCGTTGGGATCGTTAGAGTTCAATATTGGAGAATATTCTAGAAATGGGAAATACGGAATTGGTTCCCGATAAAATATAACAACTTACCATCATACAAATGTTCAGACTGTTTCACATGCGTACAAATAAGTATTATTATTTATATCTGACTATGATTTTCCACCAGAAAGATGTGGGCAGAACTTTCATCTACGTCAGAACGAATTACACATTTTTGCAAGTAGTTTGACTGAAAACTTAATGCGAAATTGTCTTTCGCCCACACAAGTATATTTTTATTAACTGAAAAAAGATCTAACGTGAAACATACCTAAAACAAAGAAGAGCACTTTAAGTCAAGCAAAACAGCTGAAAATGAAATGTTAATTAGTGTTTCAATTGTTTTTATTATTATTTATTTTAATTAATTTCGACTCACCTATTTGATATTGGGTAAAGCTATGATTATAAACCATTTCATTATTATTATAGTATGAATAAATTCGAATTTAACTTATTTCTTGCACTAGTATATAGTTTAATTAGAAAAACAAACGTGCTATCCTGTGAAACTGTTGTCGATTTGTATACAACAATTTTTCATAATTTACATAGCAGGTACCTATATTATGATAAAAATGAAAATTCATTGGAACCAATTTGGTAATTGTGAACCAATTTTGAGTAAAGAATTTAGAAAGGGTACACTTAGTAAATTAAAAATTAAATTATTATGTATTAAAGAAACTTTAATAACATATGGTAGAGATAATTATTTTAAAATGATTTTCAAAAATCTAATTGAAAAATAGAGTTACAACCCAAAGGTCAAAATAATGATGTATACCGTCCTATACCTTAAAAAAGAAGTAGGAGTACTGAGCACCTACACTAAAAAATCTGAAAAATTTGTATGGACACTCGGTGCTCCTAGCTGCGACCTCCTCGCAAATCATTTTTGAAACGAAATACGTCTACGTGTTTATATCATACGTATTGTAGACAGATACCTAACCCGTAATGCATTCCCGGAAAACGAATTGATGAAAAGCAAATATACTCGTCCAAACCGTTTACATTTCCCGCCGCTGTAATACGATGGAATAAAATACGTATCTTCGAAAAGCGACATGTTGTAACGCACCATATTTTCTCGAACTCAAATTATTATTATGTTATTTTTATTAAATAAAGCTACAATATAGTTCGCTACCTCGTGTCTGTGTGTTACAATAATAATATGATGTGTACGCTATCTATATATACTACCAATAACGCATTACATTTTTGAGTTATTAATATTACATTTAGTAAATATTTGTAGACTTGTAGTGTACATCGGTATATTTCCCGGTATACGTTTAACAATATTCCAAAAAACTTTAATATTTTTTCATGTTTCCGTTGGTGCAAGATTCTGTTATGGGTTCCCCAGAACATGGCCATCACATATAATTTATTATTTTGATGAATTAATTTCTAATTTTTTCATTATGCGTAATTCTACAAACAATTTTTGTTTTCGTTCACTCGACCTATTATAGCCCATACGTCGTTCTCTTTATGTTTTTATTTATTCATTATTCTATACCGTAGCGTATACCTACACTTAAAAGTTACAACATTAATTATTTGTGCTAATTTGAAAATTTTCCATTTGATAAATTAATTGAAACAAGTTTATAACGAAATTGCACATATTCCATATGCCTTTGTATTTTAATAGGTTTACATAGTTAAATAGTTTTGTACGATGCCAATATGTATGATAAACTTATATAAAAGTACTTCCATTTATTTAATAGTTTTCTGGTTTATTCCTACCTCCTATAATATATTTATTCTAATCTACTTATCATCTTTTGGCAATTCCAACGGAGTTATATAAAAAATATTCGTTTTTATGTAGTTTCTAATACTAATCCATCATGTCGTGTACTCTATTTACTTTCAAAATTACATTTCATAATAATTACTTAATGTGATTATACGTTTCACAGCACCTATTTGTGTACATATACATACTGTCATATTACTATTACTAATACTTAGAAAAGGCGATTTTTCAAAAGGACATTTACTTGGGGGTTTCACAAGGATAAAAAGTTGAAAACCGTTTTCCTCTGAGTAATACATTTTTAATGGAACTACCTACTTGTATAATTTTAAAAAATAAAATAAATAATTCTAAATGAAAAAAATTACTATCTAAAAATTGATTGTTTGAAAAAAATCATTAAAATAATAAATTATTTTGAGAAAATATGGTTACTTTACGCCTGTACTTTATGCTATTGTCTTCGAATGAATAATAATTTTCCATTTTATGTTTATTAACACCAACAATGAGTAGAAAAATAAGTAAAATTTGATTCTATTAAATATCCATTATAAAATATTATGTTTCAAAACTACTTACAACAACACCATTAAAATGTATTAGAGATACCTAGTTTCAAATTAGTAATGATTAATTAAAAATACCTATATATCATAATAAATACAATAATACACTATATGAAAATAATATATCATGTCTATAGTTGAAAACATATCGAATTTAAAATGACGTTTTTAATACCCCTCGGAGTGTACTAGTCTATTTTATTTGAAACTGCGTTCTCCATGATGTACGATCCCATTTGAACCATAAACGCAAAAAATGTGATAAGGCCCCGTGTTAACAATATAATATATTGTAGACTAATCTACATTTTTTCGGTATTGGTTTTTTATAGTGCCCAGGAGAGTGTTAAAAGAACAATTCGAAGAGCCTGCTCATTCCGACGAACCGACTGTAATGGAACTGGACTACTTTGACAACCCCGGTGTGGCCCCCGTACAGCCATTCGAATCCTTATCCCCGCCCGCCAACGACCCCAGGACTAGGTATAACGAGTCGGCTGCTGATCCCGTTGGGCATGGAAATTCATCTAGTTCGTCACTGGGTAAGCACACAGATTATTGATTTATTAGTATATTTCAAGCGCAGACATATTATATAAGTAATGGAAAAATGTTGATATGGTCCTTGAATAACACAAAATACGTATCGCATATTGTTGTATATATTTTGTATTATGTATGGTGTCTAACGAAGGATTTTTGATTTAAAATAACGAGCAAGCCGTATCAACATTACCCCGCCACTTTAAATTAGTAATTCCTCGTGGGACTGATTCTATAAAATACAAATTACGTTAATACAGGGAGCTCGCTGAAGACTGTTCAATGTTTAATTTTTCTAAAAAGAATTTAAAATAAACTATTTAAATAATTCCACTGTGATCATTATACTTAAAATAAATTCATTTTAATTTTAGAACATTTAGTGTAATTTTATTTTTTATTTTATCGTAATATTTGTATATTAAAATAATATCAATAAGAATTTTTAATTGCTTTCGTATGAATTAAATAAAATTAATGAATGTTTCTCAATGCATAACAAATTAATTGGTAGGTGTTCAAAAATTGTCCAATATTGTCCAATATATATATTCACAAAAGTAATTAAAAAATATTTATTTTTATGTAAGACATTAATATAAAAATATGAGGAATAGGTATTAGAGAAAACCTAAAACTAACGAAAGAAGTTTGTAAATCAATTTAAAGAAAAGTCTCGTTGGTCATTAATTAAATTTATTTTATTGTAATAGTAAATAATTTTTTTTTTCGATGATGACTTTTATGTAAAAAAAAGGGTTTTTCACATTTTATTTATTTTTTCTAATTGATTTGTGTAATACATTACTATTATTTGCACGTGAATCAGAAAAAAATATCTCAATTTAGTAAACCCAGCTTAAATGTAAAGCTCGCCAAAATTTAGATTTAAATCTAAATTATTTTAATTGTTTAAGTGGTAATCTGGTGCTTAAATCTGAGACTCACGTCAAGACTATCAACATATACCTACCTAATTACCTATGTAATTTGGTAATTGTAATTGTAGTTGCAATTTTTAAAGTAAAAGACAATCAAAATACCTACATTTTCTTATTTCAAAATACGACTTCAATCATACTTCTGCATATTATTATGTAATCTTACCTAATATTTATTTACCAGGTAGTAAACTCTTCAGCAAAATATTCGCAAATTGAAGTTGTAAAGACTTCAAGAGTGAAATGCATATAAATGTATATTTTACAGTAATACAATAAATAATGTTATTCTACACTAACCTTGTTTTCTTTTTATTAAAAAGTATTTTTTCAAAAATTTAAAACTAAATTATAACGAGACGAAAACTACCTACTTATTGAAATATAATTAGGTTTATATTTTCTTAACTGTATTATTAAAAATGAGAAAAATAAAATAAATAAAAAATATTTCTACCGCAGTGTTGTGCGTTGCACACTTGCACACTTACACTAAACATTTTATTTTCGTATTGTAATCTTGTTTAACGTAATTTATTAAAATTAAAAACTATTACTGCAGGACTCCCCGCGATTGCCTATAAAATTGTACAGAAACATTACTCGATTATTCGAGAACACAATATTATTATTACTTCGTTTCGTCATACTTTTCAGGCTGATAATAATTTATATTATACCTAATAGTATAATGGTTTGATGAATATTGCTAATTCTGCTTGATACTAACCCTTTGACGCGCTATTAATATAATAATATATTATTACATGCTGGTTTCTATCATCACAGCGGGCAAATGCAATAACAATATTATAATCATGTTTAATTGTAAAATATCACTAGCACTACCACAACTATAATAAAATACACCTTCGTACACCATAATTATAATTGCCACTTACGCTGCGGCTTATAAGTTATCAGTATTTAGCACACGCGCTGATGCACGGTCATCGCTACCACTGTATAAATGGAACACAACAACCTTCGCTTTTGGGTGGCAAAAATCACAGAAAATAATTATTGACAAATCTCATTTCCATATTGTCAACATTAGGTACGATATCTCGGCATACGTATCAACAGTCCACGACACAGCATCCGGTACAAAATATTACCACTATCAAGACGGCTGATCCGAATAGCATCTTAGCTAACATCGTTACTTTTGGTTACGTTTCTTACAAGATTGTGTACAGTAAGTGAAATATTAATGGCTGGTTTGAACGACATTGCGGGAATAAGCGTAATCTGTCAACAAAATCAAACAAAATTTAATTAATTTAAAATAAACAATGTAGGTAACTTATTGAAAAATAATTTAGCGTCTAATGGTACTTAACCAAATTAATTTTCCATATTGTTATGTAGTACTACATTGTTTCATTAAATATATATATAATATTGGCTTAAATCAATGAAAGTTATCGATACAAGAACTGATTTCTGAGAGTTGTTTCAAACTGTTGTTACAATATTTTTGAATTAAAAAACTTTTTAATAACTTATCAATTCAGTTATTTCTTTTGACAAATAGTTTTGTGATATTCACAACAATTGTATCGTTTCCTGGGAAATGAAAATAAAAAGAATGACAATTTCCAAAAAAAAAAAACAACAACAAAATAAAGATAATATAGTACCAAATTGCTTATACAAACCCTATAAATATAATATTCATATTTCCGTGTAAAACATTCACATATAAGCATAATATAAGTTTAAGTTTTTCAAAAAAAAAATTATTATATTATGTACAGTGAATAGTATTATGATTTCAATATGACCTTAGAAATTCAAACAATTTCTAATATAAATATTTAAATTTATGAATAAAACTAACGATACATGATATGTATAATATTATTATAAGGCTCCAAAAAAGTAAAAACTAAACAGATAATGATGTTATCAATTGATATTATATTATGTTGAAGACAGTGAACAGTTAAGTGAACACAAAAATAAACGTACCAATATTATAATACAGCTTAACAACAACAACAACAACAAATCAGGAAATCGCTATGATGTTTACCTAGTAGATTTTGAGTATACCTTGTCATTAAGTAGGTCACTGTAACGAATGTTAATGGCTTTAAATTCAACGATTAGTCGTTAGGTACGAAAATTCTGAGCGAGGACTGTATGTTGGTGCGTCACTTTTCCATATTTCTAAGGATATTTTATAATTTATGTGTATAACTATTACAGTAAGTAGGTTGAAGTAATTTTTGCTAAAATATCGCCTATAAATTAATTGTTATAATATTACATCATACATCATTGTTAATAACTAATAAGCCAATGTACCAACAGAACAGAAGAACGATCATATGAATAGTTTCATGATTATATTAAAATTAGTAGGTATATTTTTGAAATATCATCAGAAAACAATTCATTATATACATAATAGTAAAAAGTTTCTAGTCCCTACGACTAAATTTGTTTGGAACTACACAACATAATAATAACTAAAATTGTTATTTTTCGTTTAATAATCCAATGTTATCAAAGTTATGACTTCAAGTCTTCAAATATTTATTAACAAAAACTGTGTATATGTATTTTAAATATTTTTAGAATGCTGTTAGATCAATTTATAAAGAACTATGCATTACATTTTCAAACTTTTAACGAAAAGTAAAACTGTTATCACACCTAGTCTATAAAAAAGAACAAAATTTAAATGTCTATAAAAAGAGAAAAATTAGGAAAAATATTTTTAAAATTATACTACTTATATAAAATAGCAATATAAATATTTGGCAAAAAGTGTTGTTTGTAATTGAATAATAACAAAATTATGTTGTCATAAATTCGGTATTTTCTGTTTTTTCCCCCTTTCGACCACTGTAGTACCATCTAGATCCTGAAAAGTTCAACCGAAATCCACCTTCAAAGTTGAAGATAGAAGCTTTTTTTCCGTAACATAAAATGTGTGTGCACCGACGAAAAATTGTTTTTTTTAAATTCTTAATTTCAAAACCGATACATTCATCGCTCCGCTCAGAGTCTGAAATCAAATATCAACATTGTTATTATAATATCAACTGTGCATTACATATTACAGATTATATAACTTAAATTCCGTATAACTGAAGCTTATCACAGTGTAATCGCACCATTATAATATTACATTGTGGCAGTAATAATGAATGTTATAATATACGGAGGTTGTAGATATCATATTACATACAATACCGCGCAATGCTGATAAAAAATGTACCCTCGACCATGAACGGCATCCGATTATTTATCAATGTTTTATTTTGTAAATTCGTTTCCGATGAAAAACCAAAAACTAATATTAGTATAACATATTATAATAATATTATGCCAAAGTGGCTTTGTTGTTTTTTTTTTTTATCATTATTATTATTATTACTATTACTATATTATTATTGAACAACAGACTTTTATTCGGAAAGCGTGTACATAGGTAGTGAAATAGAGGTACCCACGTCCTGTATTATGACCCAACCTGCAGACCTTAAATTAATAAACGTAGCATCAAAGTCAGTATATATTATAGAGGTTGTGTAATGCGGCCGGGACTATAACGTCAATACAGCAGTAATCTCACATGCCGCGTGCGTTAACCGCTCACTGTGGCGCTGGGACTGGGCTTGTAATGCGCGCAAGACGTAAGTCAGACGATCGAACCACTCCGCCACGGTAATGATAATAATAATAATAATAATAATAATAATAATATGCTCCTCGCAGTATTATATATTATACCCACTTCATTTGTATGCCATCTATAATATACGCCACACGGTGTTTATAAATGGAAAATATGACAGAGTCCCGTCGCGAAACATTGAGGTCCCGATTTTCGTCCGCGACGTGCTTTCCAAACGGGTAATATAGAGTCGGTCGAAAACTATCGATTTTACGATATGGTTGGATCGTCGATGTTTCGATATAGTTAAATAATAATTATCAATGTTTCGCGGGCCATTTATAATTCGTCATAATATACGATCGACGTGATATACGTAATGATATTGCCATTGTGAGTACCAGATTACGGAAATGATTAATTGTTGATTTTTGTGTATTTTTTTGTTTAGAAAAACAAGACAAGTTTTACCTATACTTGGGCGGTGGATTGATTGGCGGCCTGTTGTCCATACTGTGTGTTGTGGCGGCCAAATTCGTCTGGCAGCGTTCCAGGAGACATTTGGACAACAAACATAAGTCCGATAACGCCAGCCATGACATGTCAATCGACCCAAACGCATTTGGCGATAACATTAGCGAAGTAGACGCCGATATTGATCTAACGGATATTACGCAATTTCCCATCACCGTTATACCCACACAACAGTTGTCGCCAAGCGAAGTAAGAGATTTATTATTACGATAATTAAAAAATATATTGGAAAAAGATGATAATAACATGCTAGTAATCAAAATAGAATAAACTGGATAGAACGGTTTTATAATTTTGAGCAGAACGTTAAATTATTTTTTAGACAATTGTCAACCAATAAGATGTAAAACAGTATGCTACCTATAAACTTTTAAATGTTATAAATCATTTGGCAATTCTAAAATTCAAATATTTACTCACCAATAAATTAAGTAAGTTCTCTGCGCACTATGGGAGGGATTGGGGAAGTTATTTTTATTTTATACGATAGGAGGGAGTGATCGCATAATTTACTTCTCCCTAGGTTTAACCTCTACCTTATAAATTATATAGGTACATAATCTGTTTTTTTTTTTTAAATTTAAACGTTTAAAGTACAGTGGTTTAGCATTTTTAATCAAAACTAATAACTCTTAAAACGTATTCCATATACGTTTCTATTATTTAATTAAAAAATTACACACAATTGTTCTAAAATGAAGAGGAATATAATAAACTGTGATTGTTTGGTAAACCCATACACCAATCCTAAATTGGTGCAAAAGTGTGTAAATTTACGCAACCCGAATAGTTAAAATTCACACACTTACAGAATACAATATGTAAATTCAATTTACCCATAAAAGAGAGTAATTTTGTCCCATTTACGCAAAAAGTGAATCTGCATAAATGTCGTCTACTAGACCTAAGCAAATTTTTACTTGCACGTAATAAGTATTTAGGTGAACTTCATTGAATTGTAAAATTAAAAAAATATAACATATCAACAGTAATGAAATACCGTACACCCTAACTATATGTTTGTTATTTAAGTACATGAGTATAAAATTGAATTTCAAAACTCAAGTTTTGAAATAAACTGAAGAATAAAAATGCCCATACAATTTCCTATTAATAATATAAAATGTTATAAGCCTTTCGCAGTGACTAAAATCGTTATTTTACTTTTACCTACATGTGAAATGTTATGATAAATTATTGTATTACTTATAAATTGTATCGATATTCCGGTAGGTAAACAATCAGTTTGCGTAATATTGCTATCGGTTGGATATCGTTTTGTCCGTTTGATAATTATTTATTGAGCATACTACAATAATGGCAAAGTAACTTAAATAAAACACATAGACAATAATAGACAAGTAAAGTTAATTGAAATCGTAGACAATTTAATTTAAAAAAAAAAACCAAGATATCGCTAAAGACTTTGTAATTACTGCTAGTAACCCTTTCAACGGTTAAAAAAGTTAAATGTATTATTTTTAATAATATATAGTACCTATAGGCGTCTAATAAAAATACGGTTCTTAGAAAATAAATTACACATTTTCCGATATCTAGCCAGTCCAATGATTCACTTAAAATATTTGTTCAATAGGTACCTTTACCATAAAATATAAATACATAACTACCTGTTTATCAGCACCTCATAAGTGAATCAACAATGAGGGAAGCATAAGAAAATGAGATTTAAAGTTATGGTGTACAATTTTTACCACAAGTTTAAGATAAACATTAATTTAAAAATCGGTTATAATATGCGCTTAAAACATTAAAATGGCAACAAAAAAATCTACAGTTGATGAAATCAGATTGTACTTTAAATATACTTACCAGAGTATAAAAATTAAAGATCAGAAATAACTCCGTCAACCTAACATTTTTTGAAATAAATAAATAAAACCTATATACATTTTTTAATATGAAAAAAGTAATACGCTTACGATAAAATGTAGTGACGTAAAGAACATTTTATAATCAATTTTAATACAAATATCAAAATGTCTATAATAGTTATTTTCTTTTCAAAAAATATTAATTTTTTGAAATATATTAATTTCATGAAAATGAAATTATAAATGATAGATATAAACATTATTCCGTTTGCGATTACACAAGTTATTTTATTTTCATTTAATTCAAATTATTGAGGTAGGTACCATTGTACTCAATAATTCCAGTAATTCACAACATTTTAAAGAATATATAATATGTCGTTCACAAGAAAAACGAACTATTTGGAATGCCACTCATACATGTTATTATTCTTTTCATAAAATTAACGGATATACCTATAAACTTAGTATGTATTTTAACGATCAACAAATAAATGCAAATCATCGGAAACTGTCGTATTTAATTTACAATATATTGAAAATAATGTTTATTCAAATAAAACTCTAATTTGATTTCTAAAATATGTTATCAATATTAACTAACACTATTTAAAATTTAAATTTAACTCGATTTTTCAATTTCATGTAAAGCAAGTAATCTCTAACAATTAGTGATGTTTTGTAATATAATTATGTTATTTATGTGTTGGAATATTATCATAACTCCGGTTAAAAAGATTTTAGATTAGATATGTACTCGAAAAGTTCAATATGGACCATATTATTTTATAGTATCAATCAGCCATAAATAACACAAATATAGAGTGTAACAGAAAGACCTGACAAATGAAATAACTTTTGTTCTAATGAAAATTTTAAAAAAATTATTTTTGGAGAAATTCCGAGTAGCTAATTTATAAATCTAATAATTAGGCAAATTTTGTGATAAAAACGTTTAGTTAAGTCAAGTAGTTTATTTTTAAAATATCAATACTATCTATTTTTTTAAGGAAATTAATTTGAAACGTAATGAATTTATTTTTATATGTAAGGTCTTTCTGATACTCACTGTGTACGTTTATACCGTATGGTGCACCGAAGGTAAATTTTTGAATTTAACAGAAAATGGATAAAATTAAAAAAACACCAAAATGTATTAGTAATGCAGCTGGTGACACGGATTCGATTTATTCGGAGGGGAGAAAATCTTTTTGCATTGTTATAGTTTGTTATTCAATTTTCAATAAAAACAAACATTGAAAAAACAAAATGTATTAAGTTGAGACCCGAAGAAATTATTAAGTCTTCATTGCCTACCTATTATATATTATGTTATTTTATATTATACAAAATAGTTTTGGAAGGTTTGTTCAAAAATACCTAGACTAAAATTCTTACGGAAAAACGTTCAATGACATCGGTAATATTGTTATTCTAAAACAAAAAAGTTCATTTTTCGTACTTGTAAGTATGCGATTTAGTCCGTTATTTCAAACTACCTTGAACATAATAATATATTAGACATGGCCAAAATTTAAATATATTTTATAGTTGCCAGTTTTTTAACACCAAAAAAGATTAATATTATATGTATAATATTAATAATACAAAAATCATAAAATATTTTTGTATCTATTTACAGTATAGTAGTATACATAGTAAATTGTTAAATCGTAAATACTAAATAATGTTTATTTATTCATTTTTAAACACAAAACGAGCCGTTGGCCCATGGCAATATAGCAATAAAAAAAAATACAAATTTAATATTTGATGTTTAATCATAACAACGAATTTATGAACAAATGAGTACTTGTAAATAATAATTTATTTATGTGTGACTCCAAAAATATTAATTTTTTTTATTATTGTTTCTTAAATCTTACAATCATTAGAACCTATTCTATGAATTCAAATTGTAGACATTGAATATAAAATGTGACTAGTCCAATATTCTTGAATCCCAATAGCCTCTCAATAAGCCCAATAGCTCTCTCCATTTTGTGGCTCGATGAGTGATAAAACCCTCCCAACTCATATTTTAACATTATAACTATAGTCAAACATAATATTTTAAAACAATTGCTAGTAAATACGTATATAATCAAAGAAAATTGCTAAATTTATTTATAATAATATATTTGGATTTAGCCGCTAGATTTTTATTGTTCTTCAATTTATAATACATTACCTACAGTACTTATCATCTGATTTAATTAAAAATGTATTATTTAATTTTTATACTAGTAAAAAAATTTTAATTAAGTTGATATTTTTTTAAAGACAGTTTTACATGGATCTATGCATGATGTGGAAACCCGTGTTAAAAAATATGCATACTTTTAAAATGAGCTATTAAATTTGTAACGGTATAAAACGATTTTTAAATTAATAAACGTATAACTTTATATTATACATATATGCGTATAATATATACTTTTGTAGAAGCTTCACATAAATGTAACTGAACAATACAGTTTTACATCTATCTTGAAAACGACTTTGTGTAAACATAAATTTAAAAAGTTTTTCTTACTTTCATACATTGATATACTTATGCGCTTTTCCAGTGAAATATTATTTCGCATTAAACACTAGACTTAAACCACAAATGTTATATTAAATGGCGAATGGTTAAAAATATATACACTGGTAACATATACTTAATGTCGTCAGATAAGTTTTCGACGATTTTCATAAAACATAGGTTATCTACCCTTAACGTAACATCATACAGAGTGTCGTCGTGTAATAAACATTGCGTAATTATGCAAAGGAGTAAACGGTTGTTCAGTAGAATAAAATAAAATACAAGACAGTGGAAAATATGTATTACGATTTGTATACAACTATTTTTAAACTCAAATAAAATATCATGGTATCCAATTTTTCTACTTGATGCTATTTATAATAACCTCGATGCCACTTTAATAATTCGGAGTTCTAACTATATCTGAACCAGACACTCGTATTTTATGATGTGCCGAAAAATGATCAACGTGTGTTTTAGCGGGACACAGAAGTCTGACTCTTGATAATACAACAAGTTTAATTTGTCACGTATTTTAGTTAATAAAGATAAATCTAATAATTATGAATCATAATGTCACAGACGTACATAATATGACCAACTCAGTTGCGTGACCAAGCGGAGAGGGTCCCGGGTCAGGATCTCCCCTTGGATCGTACCAATTATTACTATAGTACATCAGATTTTCGCTTTGGTTGAACTCTCGATGTCCAAACAAATATGGACAAAACAAAATGAAAAAATTCTTTTTGCGCCACTGAATCAACAATATATTATGTAGTAACTGTACATTTCTAAACTATTCCTCCCAATTTTAAAAATACTAACAGGACTCACTGCTTCTGTTCGAAGCTTTTTTTTAGCAGATGTCCCTCGGACTTTTCCACCTACTTCTTTAGTTAAATTTAGCTTCTTTAGTTCTTTAGTTTAATTATTCTTAAAAAAAACTACCTAGGCCTATATATAGAACCTGTTTACATTAAGTTGTCTAATATAATTTGCATTTATTATTAGCACAATAATTATTATTGACATCACAAATGTTTTTTATCGAGTTTAATATTTAAACTATACACCTACGATTAATCGTGAATTACTTTTGTTTCCATTATAGGTGGTGAGATATGGAAACGAAGGTATTGCGCCCAAAAGTCTGTGTAGGAATGACAGCTCACAATATTACTATGGATGACAAAATGGCGGCAAGGAGACGGTCAGCCGGCTGCCTTGCTCATCCCAAACGCCAGCAAATCCTGCCGCATCAAGAATGTATTGTTTCTAACGGACGGGATCGTTGCTTGCCCAAGAATGAGCTTAGCAAAACCCAACTTAAAAGACTTTCGAATTTACTTTAGTCTATAATTTCTTTTGTTTATGTATAATGTATGTAATATTATATAAATAAATATCTGCGTATCAGTCGAATCGTGTTATATAATTTTAAGTATATTATTAATTATTATATGATTAATTTGCCGATAATTTAATAAACTCAAAACCAAAGAACGAGACCATTCGAAAAACGAATCAGGGAACAATCAATATAAATTGATGTATAATAATTATTACATCAAACGAGTTTTATATGCTGTGAAAATTGTGTAATGTAAAAATATGAAGAGGGTTACAGCTTGTTCGTACAGACAATTCATTTCCATTACCATAATGAATATGTTACTATTGATTTTTTGCACTTAAAAATAACCGTGACCGACGAATAGAACCTCATAAAGTGATAATGACTAATTTGATAAATTTTAACATGAAAAGACACTTAATCTTGGAGGTACGTTATTAACTTTTGACACATACAATTACAATAAAACTTATTTTTTAACTACTTTTCATGACATGATTATAGAGATTTTTTTTTTAATTCAAAATAAACGAATTCTAGGGTTTGTCGCTTTTGGTTAGCATCATTTCTCAAAAAAAACATTTTATAACTAAATTAAACACAATACTATAAGCCATAAGTATAAATAAATACAAATATAAATACACTTCTTGATCATTTTCAGTTTCCACATAATACTTTTAATTTACAATGATGTCTTGTAACCTGTAAAACTTAGAAATATTTTGAAAAGGAAATTAAAAAATTATTGCTTAATTAATCATAAAAAAAATTAATTTTTTTTAGTTTAGAATTTAATTAGTTTTTTCAACATAATATCTATACATATATGTAAGAAACGATTTTGCTAATGGAGGATAACCTGTTTTTCCATTACGATCTTAATGAGGATTTAAAATGACACCTATAATCGAGTATTATACCCACCATGATGAAAATAGTATTAAGCTTCATTATTAAACATAATAAATCAAATAATGTGAAAATAAAGTTTAAATTAAAATAAATAGGTATTATATAAAAATGAAAAATATATATTTAATTAAATATCACAGCACAACTAGAAGAACAGGTAGAACCATCGAGGATATAAAATCATCCGTTAAAAATAACGATATCTATCTGTAATACATGGATATGAGACATTTTTACGCATAAAAACAATAAATCATATAAAAATATTGGCGGAGTAAATATTTAGTTCAGTATAAAACGAAATCAGAGCAATACATAAGCAATTATAAAATGTATACATAGAAAAACTATAAATATAATCTTTCATAAGAATAACTTTAGAGCTAAAAATAATAAGCCAAAATTGATCTTTCGATTACTTAAAGGCTATATCACTAAAATATTATATTTATAAATATTTAAGAACATTATAATTTTTGTTTCCTTAGTATTCAAACTGTACGGCTATGCTTGTATTAAACCTTCTCAGTAGAAAATCATAAATTATTAAAAATATTGTTTTGAAGTAAAAATCAACGCAATCGTTAAACTTCTTAATAATAGTAATATATAAACGAACCATATCTTTATTATCCCAGTTTTAAAGTATAATAAAATGTTAATATTCATTACTGTTAATTGTATGTAAAGAAATTGTAAATAATAAATTCATTTCTTGTTGTATTTTAATATTATATTTATGTTTTTTAACTGTGTTGATAACTATAGCTCATTGTTTATCATTAAGACTATACATTTATTTGTATTATGACAAAATGTATTAATTTATTGTTTTTCTTTCTATTTAAGACTATTATGAACAAATTTAAAAAATGTTAAATAAAGTAGTCAATTCAAATTGTTTATTAGTCTATTTATCAGTTTAATCATTGTAATAGATATTGTTTTATTATGTATTTACCTAAACAATTTTTACTTTTATTTATTTTTCATTAAATCTCAATGCAATGTAAATAAATGTAATGTATATATACTATGAATAAACTTATTTTTAAAAAAACATCATACTCACCACATTTAAATTATTGTTTAAACAATATTCCGAGGTCAAAACTGTACAACTACAGTTATACTTCCAAGTTACAATTATTGTACAACTCATGTTATCTTTTATAAATATTGACTGATCATTAAAGTTAATAATAATAAGTGTTGAAATCATTAATAATTAGTAACTTTTTCACTTTATCTTATTGAGATAATTAGAAATAAAATATCTTAAAAATGTATCTAAGATAAACAAATTACTTATCTAGATAATAAAAAAATATATTACGAGTAGAAACTTTTTAGTTTTTAGTAAAATTATCTTTACATATTATTATTTTTTTTTTGTGATAATTTTTATTTATTGAAATTTACTATTGATTGCAATGTTACCAATGCATAATATAAAACATTCCAATTTCTTATCATTAATAATGACACGTATCAAAAAAAAAAATAGTGTTGCTCAAATAATGTAAGGTGTCGTACCTTTGATAATAATATTATATCTACCGATAAAATGTCCTATTTTTCATCAATCAATACCCACCCACTCATATTTAAGGTGTTGCCTGAGCAATAATTTAACCCTACGTTACACGCCACTAATTAATGTTTAACTGAGAACCAGTTTAATATCAATGATATTACATTATTTGTATTTATTTTAGTATTATCATCTAAGAACTTTTAATAAATATTTAAACATACGTGTTGATTATGAATAGGTAATATTTAGTTTCACATGTCTTCCCCCTGCAGTTCACTGTAGCACCGATGGCGCCCTTTGCTTAAAATTCCGAATGGTAAATCGAAGTAAAATATTATGTTACTTCGTTATTTTGTTCATACTGAATTTTTACTCTAATTTCAACTTTAAAAATTATAATATTAATGTGCATAGTTTGAAAGACATTTATAAAGTGTACACACTGTACTCTGTGATTGATTATTTTCGTCTGATTCGGTTAAACCTAATATCCATAAACACCAGCTTTCTCTTCAACAGGACACGGAATACTGTACAACTGTTAACTGTGAACATTTTACAGTCAAACTCCTACTGTGAAAATGTATATACTTGTATGTACAATTTATTTGAAAATTCTCTTTTAATTATAATTCTCTAAATAAAATATTTATATTTATTTAGGTATAAACTAAGTTTTCTGGGCTCAACATTAAATATGACAGTTCACAATGTATAAGAACGTATTTAAAAAATGTAAAAAGTAGTAAGTACACACAATGTGGTTCTTGTGACATTTTACACAAAGCGATCACAAATTACAGTAGTAAGGAATGCATCCCTCTATTTTAATACTTGAATTGGTGTTGGCTTATTAGTTATTACTTTACTGAAATCGACCGTTCATTTAACTAGATAATGATTTTAATTTAAGTACATTTAATCGCCCCAAAAGTTAATGAGTTGACTGACGTATTAGTTGATCATCTGGTTAAACAAATATTATATTTCGTTTTTAAGGCTTAACTGGTGGTGAATAGTGCTATGCCATTTTCCAAGATATGTTACTCAGTCGAAAAATATCGAGTTATCAGTCAAATCGTAAATCATACACAGTAATCCGAAGTAAACATAATTTAAAAATGCAACTAGATGATATTTTAAATGCGTAATAATGTTATTGAATAAAACGCCAAGAAGATAGCATTAAACAAACTAATTTAATCATCAGATAATACTGTGGGCTGTCTTAAAGTTTAAGCTCATATTACCTGTATATATTTGTTGTTATATAACTCATTTATTACTATGTAATATTTTCATATATCCTTAAAAAAATGTTTCTTCCAATGACCACAATTCCAAAGCTTGATAACAAACAAAAGAAAACACCAGTTAATATTACGTATTAAATTAATTTTCTTAAACTATGTACCTATATTGCCTATATAATACGCCGCGCTATACAAAAATAATATTGAATAAGTAGATGAAAATTGTATTTTTACTTTGTTTCAAGTCTAATTTATTTATTTAAGACTCGTAGATTTTACAAAAATTGATGGTAGTTAGGTAAATTTAACTAAGCGCTATCAGATAAAATCATTTTCTAATTAATTAAACTTCAAATTACCTTAATGAGTGAATCAATGAACAAATAATACATTTGACTCAATCAATAGTATTGTTATAAAAATACTTCCAGGATCAAACTTTAAGAGTAGTGCTCTAATTTTAAAATAAGTCAATTTTCGCAGCGGAAGACTTAAGTGCCAAAACGAGATAAGAAAATAATAAATCGCACAAAAGCGCTAAAATCCCAGATACCCGGGTGGTTTATTCCAGATATTAAATTTAGAACTATATCATTCAAAAACGCCAAATTTACTATCTTAATCGACAAATGTATTATCTGATAACAATGAACCTTAGGACTTTTTGTGTTCAAATATTTTATTGTAACTTGTAAGTACTTTCTTATTAATATTATTACGTAGTAGGCATTTAAGTTTTCTAAACTGTAGTGAAAATTAATGTTATAAAATAACTATAAATACAAACGTTTTATGCGTCTTATTGAATGAACAAAAATATAAACCTTACGGATTATTGACAGTTTTGAATATTCTGGAAAATATAAAATATAAATATTGTCGCAAACAGACACGTGGTCAGGATCGTTTATAAGAAATCTAAATCATATTGCAGATACATACATGTTTTGCATAAATACGGTCATTGGTTGGTGAAAAGGTAGTACATTTAATGCATAATAATATATAATAATGACACCCATTATTGTTTTGGCAATAATTTCATCAAAAAATAAATTATTATAAATATATCAAATTTATAATATTTAATCAAAAAATTAATTTCCTTTTATAATTTAAATTTATGAGGTTTTCGAATTTTGAAAGAACTAACAGAATGTTTTTAAGTATATTGTTTTCTGAGACGCTGTGTGATACTTGACAATATTCTACTCTGTGTTTTCATCAAATTGGTATGTTCCGAAGTTGTAAAAGTATTTTCTATGGACTCAATTCCATAAAAATTTAAAACAATTTATTATGTGATGGAAAAAATAACGTCAGACGAAAAGACCATTAATCTATTAACGAGCTATCTGAGGAAAAGATAAGATAAAGACAAAAAATTAGTTGCGAAACTATTTGAAACACTTAATAGTTTTGATTACTTTTTCTAAAAAATACTACAATATGTATTATATGCGTGTGTATATATTACGCTGGAAGGCCATAAAAATAAACAATCGTCAAAAATCAAAACTTATTAATTAATCGGATTTGGATTATTCAACCAATAAAAACATAAAAAGTTAGGTTAATAAATAAGTTTATTGCGATATGGGTAACTAAATACAAGGTGGAGTTATTATGGTTACAAAATAGATATTTTCTCCTGTTCAATTTTTAAAAATCAACAGAGATAGTTATTGGAATTTGGTGCCAATCGGCCAATAGTTCATTGGTCAATAAGTCTACGTCCCCCAAAAGAAAAATGTTTTAATAAAAACATGTACCTATTGTAAATTGTATTAAATGTTTCCGAACTCGAAAGGTTAGATTAGTATTGTTAACTTAAGTAGATATTATATTATTTTATTATGGTTTGATCATAGATTTCTAATTTTATCAATATACTTGTAAATCATGAGAGTGAGAAATACCAAAACAATGGGAGTCGTTACTATATTAGTGAAATTAAATATAAAGTAAAAATCAGAATACTGGAGGATCAAAAAGTTATTATTAATAAAAGTGCTGCTCAATATTTTAACCAAAATAATGCTAATCCATCAAGTTACTATATGAAAGATTTTGAGCGAATATAAACTACATGTTTTGTAATTTGTGAAGTGTATAAATATGTATTTTATAAAAAAAAAATAACTTGATACCCCCAATGATCAATATTTTAGTCTTATAATTTCTAATTGTTAAGTTTCCAATCCCGAATTCTGTATTTTAAAATTCCTAACCATAGATTCTTGATTGTAAGATTTAGGTTT